ACCCGCCCACCGGCTGGCTCAGGCAGCTATCTTCTGCCATGGTCACGTCCGGGCAGAGCAGGGGTTCGGGGCTGGGCATGGCATGTTCCTGAGGCTGGCACAGCAGACCCCTGCCAGGCCAGATAGGTAAATAAGACAGGGGCGGGGGAGGCCGCGCTGGAATGGGCTGGAAGGACAGAGGTGTGGAGGTGGTCACTCACGGCGCGTGAGACTGGTCAAAGGGCAGGCTTATGTGGTTAATGCCTGGGGCCAGCGACGGGTGAGGTCTGAAAGCAAGCGAGAAGGACACAGTTGGAGAAGGGGGGCGTTGCGAAGTCACGAACACCGAATGGGGCGACAAGGCCTTCACCCCGAAGTCTCTGCTCACCGCCTAGGCCTGGGCGAAGCTCTCTGCTGTGAGAGCCTCTGGACTGCTGGGCGGGGAGAGGGGCGGTGGGGGGCACTGGACGGCCAGTTCTAGGGTTTCTGTTTTTGGACTTTGGCCAGTTCCCGCCCCCACGCCAGCTCCTGGGAAGGGAGATGCTGCGTGGATGAGTACCCGAGTCCACTTGGGGGGGCAAAAATGCCTGCATCACCTCAGGGCCGAAACGGGTGAATAAATCAAAATCAAGACAGCATGTAGGTGACACTGAATTTCAGGGGCAGGGGAAGTTTACGTGACCTTACTTTGAGCCAGGCCACGTTACCGACTCACTCCACCGCCACCACGGTCTGTGCAAGGCAGGCGTGTGCCCACCCCTCGGTTTGTACAGACGCGGCACCTGCCCACCTGGAAGGGCGAGGCTGGCGCTCCAAACCACCAGCCCCACCCTGAAGAGGTAGCTAGGGTGCCCCTTTGCCACAGAAGGGCCTCTCCTAACAAATGCAAATGCCCATCCCCTTTCTTGTGGGCACCCCGCGCCCCTCCACCCCCCCATGCTTGACTTAGTCCTGGAAAAGTGAGCGCACATCGATCAGTTCTTACCGGGGGAGGGCTGGATACGAGGGCATGGAGTGAGAGTGTGCTGGGTACACCTGGGGCCTGGCGAGAGAAAGCAGAAGCCCCTGATGCCACCCTTTCCCCTGGACACCCGACTCTACCTTCAGATGGGGCGCCCTCTCTTGGAAAAGCAGTTTCCCGCTTCAGCCCCAGCTTTCCCATGGCCGCTGACCGCAGGGACCGCGCACAGGCCACGCCCACAGGCCACGCCCACCCCGCTCTCTAGCGCTTACGTCATCTCGGGGCTGAGCTGCATGGTCAAGGAATCGGGGGCCATTCCAAGATCGTAAGTGGACACCATGGTAGGCACCGGGGGCTCTGGGGTAGGAAGTGGTTGGTCCCTGGAGGCGGCAGGGAGGCGGTGTAAAGGACCAAGGTTTGGGGCGCCGCCCCTTCCTGCAGGTCAGTACCTGCCCGTCACCCACAACGCTGCACGCACCTTTCCACAGTCATCTTGATGGTGGCTGGGACGTAACCCCTGCCGTCCTTACCCATCTGTTCAGCTGTTGTTACAGGGAGAAATAAAGTCATGGAATGTTCCAGAGCTAGGGAAGAAGGGAGCTAAGAACAGTGAGCATGGATAAGCATGGGTAACGAGCGGCAGGGGGAGAAGTGGGGTTCGGAAAACGGGGAGAGAAGGAAGGAACGGCATGCGGAGGGTGGACGCGGCGCCAGGAGCGGGCACGGGGCAGAACCGGCCGCCCCAGCTCACGCTTGTAGTGGGTCCGGAAAGCTTCGTCCTTGGGCTTCTTGGGGTAGAGGTTTTTGAGCTGAGCAAGGTCCCGGATTCGGTCCCCCAGTGAGCGAATGGACAAGTCTTTGGCGGAAAAAGGCTGGATGTTCTCTATCTGTGGGGTGCCTGCAACGGGAGGAACCTGAGTCCCTTCTGCCAAGTCACCCCTCCCCTGCGCCAGCCCCACAGGACTTGGCCTCAGCCTGCCAGGGCTGAAGGAGTCCCTAGGGCGGGGTCACTAGTCTCCATGTCGGAGCCCAGCGCTGAGAAGGCCATGCTGTTTCCTTCCCAAGTGAGAC